CGGTATGTCGGACACCCCTGAGGCACTGCAACTGCAAATTGAAGCGGCGAAGAAGTGTACTGATAAGTGGAGGTTGTCTGCCAACGTTAAGAAGAAAGCCGTCATGGTATGCAACGAGAACAAGGAGGAACCAGTAGAACATAGAGGGAAGTGGGGGATTGAGGAGATTGCAGTAGTGAACCAGTACACATAACCTCGGAGTAGAGATCGCAAAAGACTGCTCGTGGAATGCACACATGTCCAAGGTAGCGGAAAAGGGCAAAGCACGAGCAGGTAAGCTGCACTCAATACTCGCAAACCGGCNGTAGCGAAAGAACTCGAGGCGGCGCAGATGAAAGCAGCGAAAATCATCCTTAGATGCTCCACGCGCACAAGTAATGCAGCCGTGAGGGCAGAATTGGGGATCCAATCCCTACGGTCGGGAAGAGACGCGAGGAAGCTGACCTGGCAGTATCGCATGTGCGGGATGGGAGAGGAGAGGTTGCCGAGAATTGTATGGGAGGCGAAGTGGGCAAACAAAAAGAGGGGTAGACAACCCACGGAATGGGTCAAGGTTGTAGAGGACGTATGGAAGGGGCTCGACATCGACGAAGATGAAACGCTGGAAACGGAGGGTCTACAGGGGTTCAAGGAGAAGATATCTGTTGCTTGTGCCGAGAGAGAAGAACAGAATCTGAGGAAAGAATCCAAGGATAAGGAGGGTCTAGAAGTGTACGGAATGTTGAAGGAAGGAATAGGGTTCAAGGACTACCTACATGGACCAATGGATGCAGGAACAAAGCTTCAAATCAAATTCAGGACCGGGGACAAANTTCAAGGAGAAGATATCTGTTGCTTGTGCCGAGAGAGAAGAACAGAATAAAAGTAAAGAATCCAAGGATGAGGAGGGTCTATAAGTGTACGGAGTGTTGAAGGAAGGAATAGGGTTCAAGGACTACCTACATGGACCAATGGATGCAGGAACAAAGCTTAAGGTCAAATTCAGGACCGGGGACATAGGCCTTCGAGAACGTCGACGAAGACATAGGACGGTAGACGAGGAAGACGACGAGTTCAAATGTGATTGCGGCTTCGAATGCGAAGACCGTGTTCATGTAGTCGCGGAATGTCCGTTGTACAAGAAGGAGAGGGAAGTGTACGTGACTGAGCTGGGAAAAATAGATGGAACGTACAGGGAGATGTTTGAGGCATGGAATAGAGAGGAAAGGACGGTAGCTGTACTGGGGCATAGGAGGTGGGTTGAAAAGGCGGGAAGGGATATCGTTAGGATAGACAGACTAGGGAAGACATTTTTGAGCCAACTTTGGCAAAGGAGAAAGGAACGATTGGCCATCGGTGATCGGTCCTGTGGGAACAATGCTCCGTCCTCTCGAGGACGCGTGGTCAATGGTCTAACCGCTAAGGCATGCAAAACATGAGAGTACGCCCCCCCCCTCAACCGGTTTTCATAGCTTGACTACACACTCCACGAAGATGATGTCGAAATCAAACGGTACGTTTCAAATTCCGCCAGCTTCCACTGCTTTTCCTGCCGAGTAACCGAGCTTTGAAAGATAGGTGTAGGCCGGTACGCATGCAACACCTTGGGCGACGTTTTGCAGCAGCACCCGATGACAACACATCACGGCAGCAGTAGTCGTACAGAGCACTCCACCGAACCTACCGCACGGCAACAACAAGCACACAGCATCACCACCACACAGTAACAGCAAAGGAAGGACACAACAACAAACAACAACAACAACAACTCACCTGGCACGCCAGCAGGCAAATGTCCCAAGGCCCCCCCGTCGCCCCCCTCCCCTCCCACCAATTCCCCCTCTCCCGCAGATCCCCCTCCCTTCTCCGTTGCCCCCCGCCCGCCCCCCGCCACATACCCATCCGCGCCCCCCGTGTTGGACTTCAACTCCCCTGAGTTCTGCACTGACAAAGGAGGCGATACCGCGTTGAACCCAAGCGGAGCAGGAGGCCCTTCAGCTCTCGCCGCCGCTGCCGCCGCCGCCGCCGCTGCTGCACCCTCGTGCTCACGGGCGGCCGGCAAGCGCGCGGAGGGGCAGGCAGCAGGGGACATGCCCGCCGCCGCTGGTGCGGCTTTTTCTCCCGCCATGTTGTTGTCCGAAGGCTGTTGCTGCGGGGGGTTCGACACAGCCGCGGCAGCGTTGCTGCCACTGCCGCTGCTGCTGCTGCTGCTGTTGTCGTTGTTGTTGTTGTTGTGTGCGACTGGCGGGGTGGACAGCAACGGCTCGAGGTGGGGCATGTAGGCCTTCACGAGGAGGGAGACCGTCGGAGAGCACGAGTGGCAAAGCCGCGTGATCGTGTGGAACGACTCGAACCCAGGGAGCTCGAACTGTGGAGGGGCAGAAATTCGGGAGGAGTGGCGGGGCGGGGGGTCAGAAGATCGGTGCAAAGATTCGTGGATAATGTTCGAAAACACAACGACCATTTTGACGCGCATGTCATGATCCCAATGATCTGCTATGTTTCCAAAGAGAGGCCGAGTCTACAAGCCTGGGCCCCAACATGCAGCGCCATCGGTAGCGTACTATGAACACCAATTTCACAGAGCTACCCAGAACCACAAAAGCAACAGACAGGGTGGTTGTTTCTTGCGGGAATCCAGGTGGTTACCGCCGGAGGTGTGTGCCATCCTCTGCAATCAACCGGCCCCATCTCCTGCGGTCGGTGTCTCTATCCATGCCGTCATTCTTCGCTCGACTGCAATACAGTAGCGGTGCCGCTAATACAATGTCAGTGCCGAAGGTGCCAGCCCCTTAAACCGGCCTTACAGCGGGCAACGGGCATAGTTTAGAGTACGAAACAACTTGCCATCTGTGTCACGCGGGTTCACCAGCATTATACATAACCGGAGTTGAATAATGTAACGACAAGCAAAAATAAAATAAAAAACGGAAAAACGGGACCACTAGTTTACCCACCATGCCCGGCCTTAAGAAGGCGTTGAAGGTCCGCCTCAGTTTCTCGTAGGCCCCGGGCCTGCCGGCGATGGCCAAATGGCAGGCCGCGAGGTGCAGGGGATGTCTCCATAACGACCAACGACCGGCGCCGGGGAACGGTTCCAACAGGGCGAGCATCTGGAGAAGGGGGGGGGAGAGAGAGAGAGAGAAAGAGCACGAAGGTGAACGAGGGAGAAAGGGGGGGGGCAGGGGGAGAGAACGAGAGACAGCGATAGAGATAATGTCGGCATGGGCAGTGCGGGTTGTTGTAGACGGAAGTGGTATGGTCCCACGATCATACATCTTTCGACAAGGTAGTCGGGCGGGGTGCGGGGAGGTACGTGAGCATTCACGACTGATTCTAGGCAATTGACTAATGACAGAGCGTTGCTCTCCAAACGGAGCACCGCTTCTTAACGAGTAGAGGTATATTCAGCGTAGCGGGGGATGCAGTCGGTCACAGGCGGCGAGCACGTTGTAATCAAAGCACGGTCACGACAATGATGCAGACAGAGAGACAAACATTTTCCGCGGATAAACCTTACATTACCATCGGGCAACACAACTCAAGAAGCAGCGGCGAGAACGCTGTGACAAAAGTACGGGCAAGACAAAATGCAGAGAGAGTAGTAGGCTTCTACACCAAAGGCGATTTTTTTGTTTTTGCGATTTTGATACACTTGACTTTTCTGCCATTCTATTTTCAGGAGAATAATAAAGATCGACAACAGGTACAAGGCGATCGCCTACGGAGTGCAGGCTTCAGAGAGAGACGAACATCGTCCGGGGGGAAACAAATACCACCGGACATCGCAACCCACCACTTGAGACTTATCCGCCGCGGCCGTGGTCCTCCCGAGACAGGAGTGGAGCCAGCTAAGCTTGCTTTTCAGGAGGCCGACGGCGAGGGGACACCGAGGCAGGGCCCTTACGTCGTCATTCAGATCCGCGCAGAGGTGCGAGTGGGCCTTGGAAGACAAGGGTAAGGGGAGCGGTGGCAACACCACGGAGAAGCACGGTTTTCGTTTGCCCGGTTTGTACAAGGCGGTACATATGGGGGAGCGCGTGTATGTGTGTCTTTGCTATTGACATTGGCTGTGCAAACCGGCTGATCAATGAGACTCGTAGCGAGATGAAAAAAAAGGCTTGAGCAACACGCTTGATATCATTGGGCTCGCCCTCCAGGTGTGTTCTTATGATTAGCATCGAACGCGCTAACCGGCTGACCAATGGAAAGACGTCAGTCTCAGTGCCGTCGAAAACATAAAATGCTTCTAGAGGCCATGATCTGGGACCCCTTGAGGGGGCACCATGGGGGAGGCTAAGCTACTCTCCGGATAAAAGGCAGACGTTGGTGGTGCGTTGTTCACCTTCACCAACGTCCCGTACCAACCCTCCCCGCTGCGCCATTCCACAAGTGCTTGGTAGCTGGAGCCGCCATGCCCTCCCCGGCTAGCCGCCGCAAACGGGAGCTTCGTGAACCGCCTGGAAGGGCACATGTTTTGCATGCCTTAGGTGTCAGAGCATGGACCTCACATCCCTACAGTGGCCGGACGGAGCGATATGCCAGGTTTTCGCCGACCCAGGCTACGTTTCACAAGGATGAGCCAGAAGCTAGCCATCATCCTGGCGTTTGCTATGCCACAATGCCACAAAAGATTACGAGCTGGTGATGAGCAGGCCGCCAACATGACATGTCGGGAGCGAGTCCTCGTAAAGCTAACGCGCTACTCCCTCGCTTGGCCTCGATTCTCCGCACCCACTACAGTAAAAACCAAAACCCACCTCAACATGTCCCAGCTCAAGCGGTTGAGCAGGGACAGAGCGTTCCCCTCGGTGATGAGCATCGGGGTCTGCTGCCGAGGTGTGCCGATGCCAACGCTCGAAACGACAGCGCCAGAACCCTTCCCGGCTGCCCCACCCCCCCCTGCCGAACCTTGATGGTGGTGATCGTGGTGGTGATGAGGGTAGTGATGGGGGTGATGACGGTGATGTTGGTGTCCCGCGCCGGGGGAACCACGCCAATCTCTCTCCTGCTTGGAGGCTAGGAGGAGGTCCAGTACGTCGTGAAGGTGCGTCGATGACTCCGCGACTCCCTGACGTCGGTGGCAGGGCGGGGGCGGAAGAACCCGACAACAAGAAGATGGGGGATGGAGTGCGCAGGGTCGAGAGGGTTAGGGTTGTAGGTGTAGACTCCCACACGAAAGCGGCAGAAGGGGCGGCCAAAGAAAGACAACAAGATTCGGGTGGAGTACGCGGGGTCGAGACGATATGGGGGGGGGGTAGACCCGAACAGCGAATGCTGATCAAAAATCACGATTGCAAACAGCCGGGTCTCGCATCAACAAGCTGTCTCGTCCTTGATCATTGAGCCTGAAACACAGCAGTACCCACGCTCGTTAAACCAACGTACGACAGCGCAGGCTTTGGCTTGGGGAACGAGCGCTACAACGCCAAAACCAACCAGGGAGAACGCACGAGCGAGCTATGTAGGTCCGCGCAAGGACAAACATATTCTCAAGTATTTTCAAAATTCTACTTCTATCTTCATCTCAAATGTTACTGGACTTGACCCATTTCCAACTACATATCGCTCGCTCGCCATTAAGCAACGGCATCGCCTGAATGAGCCTGACCGTACACTTGCCTCGGGCCTAAACCCTCCATTATTACGAACCAGGGAGGGGGCATGCAGACTCTAACCCTAACCCTAACCCCCAACGTCTATACATTATCCAGTATGTTTGCTTACATGAAAAACCTGCGTAAACTACTGGAACAATATGTTCGCTTGCTTAGAAAACCTGCGTAGACTACTGATTTTATCAAGCTGGCCTTCACACCCTCTACCCTCCCATACCACCCTTCTTACCTCAAAGCCTGCGTCCAGGCACTCGTCCGACTTATCGTAACGGCCCAGCATGTCGTACAGCACGCACAACATCAGGTCCGCCCTGACGCGCTGTTGTCTCCGGTTCGCGCAAGAGCTCAGAGCACCCCCTCCCCCCCCCCCGTCCTCCCCGTAC